ATGATGGGGACCACATGGTCTTGAGAATAGTTGCTTCATTTCATTTAACCACAGAAGCTTCCACTTGTGCCATACTTGACAAAACCGTGTTACAGTGCCCTTTATTAATGTCATATTTGTGTTCTTTAAGCCTAGTCCTTCTTAATTCCTAGCTGTTGGTTTTCAAACGGAATTTTATACACGCCGGCTGTTTCTTCTTTCTTAAACTTAAGCTTGTCCTTGTCGTTTCTGAGAATACTATACAAATTAGGAGCTCTTTTGTAAACAATTTTGGAATGTTTTTTGCCTGAAACTTGCTTCATGATGTCCTTGATGTTTTTATTATATATAAACTTGGTGATTTTAACTGATCTGTTCGGGCTCTTAACCTTTTGCCTCTTTCATAACTTTTATGCTTCATAGTCACATATTGTGAAATAGGCCACCGTTGAATTGTTGAGATCCTGTAATTTTTGAAGTACCTGTTCTGGATTAGTGATGGTGTATGTATGTTTCTCTAGATTGCTTGTGATGTATTTGTTAAGTAGTCTCTCCATTTTAATAATGGGAGAAGTAGTTTTATCCTCTACCACACATAACTGTTGGCCACTTTTATGGGTTTTTGCGAATGCAAATATGTGAGGGAGTGTTGGTGCCATGACTCTCATTGCTGAGAGATTCAAAGTATTAGCGAGGAGAGTGTTGGAGATCTTCAACACCTTGGCAGATATTTTTTCAAGGAAACCACATGGTGCTATTGTGCATTCTGTGTCTGAGATATACTGTGTAATGGCATTGCAGTATGATACCTTTTTCATAAGCACAATGTGTTTTGATTTATCTGCCCTTAAGGCAACAATGTCATTGTCACTCAACCATTTTCTAGATGCCCTGATGGATGGCCATTCTGTCCTGGATGAAATATTGCCCTTCATATTGCATATTGTTATCAATGATTTCCATCTGAAATATTCCTTAATAGTTGATCCAGTTCTTCTATCATTTTTTTGACATCAGGTATTGTATTGAACGTACTAGACCAAGGTGGCAGAGAATAAGATGGCCCATGTTTGAAGACATTTAAGAGTGCCTCTGGTGGTTGAATATTATCTCAACATACCAGGCCATGTGGTCGTTGGTTGTCCACCCTCAGTTTTCCAAGAACTCGTAATCCATTTCAATTTGTTTTCATGTTTATCCTGAAGTTTCTTCTCAAGGGAGTTCTCCAATCGCGTAATTTTCACAAACCCAGTTTTTGAGATAAACTGTATTAAGTTTAAGGACTACGATACAGTGGTTCATGCATGGAAGTAACTGTATGAAAGATTTGAGCAAAGTCAATCAACCATATGAATTTGACATATTCAAAAATTTAAAATTGATTTTTCAAACATCATCATTCTAACATTCCAGTTTGGGAGTCAGTTTAGTTAAAAACCTGAGACAGACCTTGGTGAAGGCTGAAAACATTCGGAAGTTGCGTTAAAGTTCTGTTACTGGTTAAAAAGGTTTTGTTTGTATTTAATTACTCCTGTAATTTGAAAAGGAGACAGTTTTAATTATTTAAACTATTTTAAATATGAATTTAAAATTGGACTAATTAAATAAATAAATTTTGAAAAATGTAAGGTTAATATTTTATTTTATTAATTTAAATTTTATTTTTAAATTAAGAAAATTTAAAATAAAAATTAAAAAAGTATAACAAAAACCCAAAATTGTTGGTGTTTCCCTACAACAATTTTGGCTTTTTGTTATACTTTTTTAATAACTCAAGGGTTTTTATAATGTATTTTCAAGCTGAAGGTAATGTGTTTGCATCCCTAGCATTCAGGCATTGTTCTTTAATCTTGCTCTTGTATATATCTGTTTTTTCCATATTCATAGCAATGGTTGAAGAATGTACTGTTTTAATAATGTTTGCTTCATCCTACTTTACAACCAAACCTTCCTTTTGTGACATTTTGCTAAAATTGTATTAATATGGACTTTTTTCACATTATACTTATGTTCCTTGAGATATAAAAACCCTTGAGTTGTGTCCTCTACAATTTTATTTTTTTTTACTTTTCTTATATTTAATTTAATTTTTATTTTGTTAACTTTATACTTTTCATAATTTATTTATTTAATTAGTGCAATTTTAAATTTGTATTTAAAATAGTTTAAATGTAAAAATTTGTAACAGAATATTTTATTTTTGGAATGATTTTTTAAATTTAGTTCAAAACCTTAATATAGCATATGGTAATGAAATAACTAATGATCGCCTGAAAGATAGGGCTAGAATTTGGCTAATTAAATGATTATAAAGCATTTTGACAATAGAGTAAGATTATATCTAAAGTTAATATACCTCTGGAAGTGAAGACTTGCTTAGGGTCTGGGTGCACCAGGCAAGTGCACCGCACGGCAAGTTGATGTTGTGGGTTCAAACCTCGCCCCAGGTTAGTTCTTTTATTCCAGAAGGTTCTAAATTTATTTAATAAATTATAAAAATTATAATTATTAATTTAACCGAGAGGTGGCGCCTAACACCTCCTTTTAGTGTCAAATTGCTTTATAATAATCATTTAATTAGCCAAATTCTAGCCAGTTCTTTCAGGTGATTGTTGGTTATTTCATTATATACTCATTGGGCTATAAGATGTTTATTATTTATATATACATACCTTGCTTCTAGTAATTTGTTGAAAACATTTGTTATATAAATAATTTTCTCTCTGTGAACCTCAGGTGTTGTAATTGGACTGCATACTGTATACCTGTTTGGTCTAGGATTGCCAGATAGAAAAGGAAGTATAAATCACCAAAGTTAAACACAAAAGTTGCCAGAAATTACAATTTTTTAAATTTAATTTAAAAAAAAAAAATTATTTTTCTTCTTTTTACTAATAAGTATTTTGTATAGTTTTCTCATGGTTTTGTTACTAGTGTTTCACTTAGTATGTTCTGTAGTTGTTTCAGATGCCAAGTAGAGAGATGTTCCACATACAGAGGAAGGGACATGTTATAAATAATAGGGCTTCATCCAGTGCAAAGGAAATGGGTACCACTTAAAGAGGTGTTCCATATGAGAGGTTTCACTATATTTCTTAACACTTTTCTCTCCATTGTCCTAATGTTCACTACAGGTAGCCCTCGGTTTATGCCGGCTCAATTTACGCTGATTCACAATAATGCTGCTGCACAATTTGCCATTTTGTGGTGTAATTCCTCGATTTTATCTATGCCAGACTGATTTTCATTTTAGTGTTGATGTATTTACTGAGTTGCGACATTGTACATTCGTTAAAACAAAGATTTTTATTGAATATATTTATTTTTTCTGTTTAATATTATTGGGTATGTATACATGTGCATTAAATTAATATTAAAATACTAAATGTTTAGATACCCACGAGTCAAGTTATTAAACTTAATAGTCCAATAAATGACATCTGAATCCATAGCACCAATGAATGTATCCCGTATCAGTTCATTCAGGAAAACACCTTACGACACAGTAGTGCTTCTGGCGATCGCAAACTATTGTTAGTGAGAAAAATCTGTTTCGCCCTGATGGATGGCCATTCTGTCCTGGATGAAATATTGCCCTTCATATTGCATATTGTTATCAATGATTTCCATCTGAAATATTCCTTAATAGTTGATCCAGTTCTTCTATCATTTTTTTGACATCAGGTATTGTATTGAACGTACTAGACCAAGGTGGCAGAGAATAAGATGGCCCATGTTTGAAGACATTTAAGAGTGCCTCTGGTGGTTGAATATTATCTCAACATACCAGGCCATGTGGTCGTTGGTTGTCCACCCTCAGTTTTCCAAGAACTCGTAATCCATTTCAATNATTTTTTGAAAAAAACATTTCACTTTATTTTATGATAAAATACATTTTAAAAATTAAATTTATATGTATTTTGTATTATATTATATTAATAAACAAAATTATTTGCTTATTTTTCACTTATGTAGAACCTAACATTATACCTCATTGTAAATATGGGTTCATTTTATGCCAGTTTTTGTAGGAATGGAACTGCGGCGTAAACCAAGGGTTACCTGTACTGTGATTTCTACAATAAGATTGGTAATGTGGAATAATACATTTTATAATCTACAATGATGAGGTGGCTGCCTTACTTCCTTGTTTCATGCACAAAGTTATAGTATTAGGAACAGACTGTAGATGCAAGTACCTGTACCTAGATACTCTCCAGCATCATTCCAAGCATTATTTAACCTATTTCTTTACTATTCCCTCAATCATGGCATTTCACCTATAGACTTCACAAATCTGATGACAAAGGTCCATAAGTTCCTCATTTCTTGCATACAAAAACAGGATAACAGATTATTTTAAAGTTAGCAGATGACTGATTTGTTTTGAATGTATTGCATTAAAAACACAAAAATACATAAGCATGATTTAATATTTTTTGATTTATATTTATTATATTTTGATTTTTTGATATATTTTGATTTATATGAGGGCAGTTAGCATAAATGCATAAAATCACACTGCATTGTATGTGAAAACTTTAATTTCTATTACTTGTTGCCAAACTGTTATAAATAAAATTTTAATTTATAATATAAATATTACATTATATTGTAAAAAAAACACATCTTCAGAATTTTTTAAGATTTATATATTAAAAAAATATCAATATACATCTATTTTATATAAACAATTCAAACCAAAAATCCAAATTATAAACCAGATAAACAATCTAGGAATGTTTTGTCCAAAATAAAGTAACTTTTATTGTCAAGCATTATGAAAAGATATATTCATTCTTTGTTAATCATAAAATTAATGAAGAATATATGATGTGAAATGATGCATTTATTATACTCATGTTAATTGTATATAAATGGAACAATTGTTATTTTAATTCACATATTAGAAAATTATTTTGTCAAAATTTAAAAATGTTTATCTTATTTAATATTTAATAAATTCAATAAAATTATATAATATATTAACTTTTTTCATGATAGAAATTTTTATTTTTCAGACATATACACAATACATTCCTTTATCTATATATGATTTACAACAATGGATGGGAGAACCATCCATTTATGTATATGATTGTTCTTGTGCAGGCCTTATTGTAGAATCCTTTAATCAATTTGCAATTCAGCATGAAAGAGAATATGAGGTAATACTATTACTTAATTTTTCCTACTATAGTCATAACTGAGAATCTGGTTAAAATTAATTATTGTAATATTGATATAAAATTACAATCAAAATAAATGTAATTATTTCATTTTAATATTTTTGTTCAATAATTTTTATATTATTTAAGTCATTTTACTATGAAAGGTAATTCTCAAATCTGAAATTTTATCCACATCTATATATATAACCCATTCAACAGGTGTCCGTCCGTCCCGTAACCGTTTGATAACCGACACTAGAGGCGCCCCTATCGTGTGTTATATTTCAAACATTCAAATTAAATTAACAATTTTAATTATTATTTAAATTAACAATATAAATTATTATTATTCATTTGGCCAATAAATTATTATTTGGTCAATATAACAATATAAATAATTCAGTATATTTGTAATAGGAATTTATTATTGTCACGGAATGCCTGTAATGTTCACTAGGGGGCGAATAACGAAAAACCGGATAGATTTGAACCGCTACGATAAAACGATAAGTGAAATAGTTAAGCTAATATTTTAATATAATAATAGAAACCTTTCATGGCACGACCAAAGAAATACGCCACTGTGGGGGAACGTAAAGCTGCCACTGCTGCGAGACAAAGGGAGAGACGTGCGCAGGAAACATTACAGAGAATAGCACAATCAACACGTGGAGGCTTGCAGAATGAAACTCATGAGCTCAGATCTGCAATGTTGCACAGGCAGGCAGAAGCAAAACGACACAGAAGACAAAATGTCACAACAAGGCAAATTGATTCCAAATAATTATACTTTTTTTTCCCAACAATGTTGTGTATACAGAAGTTTTATGATGGGATAAATGATGGAATACAGAACACAGCTAAAGAATATCTTCAGTCTGTAATACAGAAATACTATTTGCTGTGTATTGATCTGTTAACATTACTTTTTAACATGAACATTTGTATATATTTATACTTGATTTTTTAATCATATTAATTCTATTTATTTGAACAATTTTGAGTAAAGAATAGATTCACTTTCTCATGTACAAATACTGTTGGCTGTTTGTGTATTGATATTTTAAGTTTAGTTTCTAAGATGAAGAATTGTATACATTTAAACATTAAGCGCATCACAAACTTTTAAACATTAAGCGCACACAACTTTCATATATTAAGTGCATTAAACATGCCTCAGAAATTTGTAATGCTGCTGGAACGCCCACTAGGGGGCGTCCCGGGCTACTAGTAGATAATGATCAAGTTATTTATGATAAATTCAGAGCTTGGGGTTTTGTAAGAGTGAAAAACACATTACAACAATTTTACATAGGTTAATTTTTAAGTTGTTTTAAACATAAGCTTTTAAAGATACTCATGTCTTGAATAAAGAATATTTGGATTGTGAAAATAAACATTCCCATCAAACCCAATACATAGCAATAATTAGATTGTGATTGAAAATTTTGTATATGCAGTACAAAAATAATTTGTGAAATACCATGACGGCTGGGCAAGCAAGAGTTCAGTGGGAGCCGAAATGAAGGTTTTGCAAAATGCATGGGAGCCGCAGTTCTGTACTGCGATTTTATTATATAATGTAAATATAATATAAAACAAATATTGAATTTTTTAATAAACATATTTTCACAAAATTGTGGAAATAAAATTGTAAAAATAATAATAAAAAGCATAAATTAACACTTTCAGCAAGATCCGCATGTAACTCAAAAAGAGCCACATTTGCCCATGTCTGTACTATAATAATAATTATATATGAAATAAAACATAATGTGCTCAAACATGAATCCTGTTGGATCCCACAGTTCAGAGAAAAATAGTCTATTTTTATTTTATATGTATGCAAGAAGAAAATTATTTTACCAATTCAAAAATACAGGATGCATATCAGATTAATTTGTAAGAATGTCTAACAGAATGTTTAACAAAACCAAATCCAATGCTTGTGAAATGTCTATATAAATGGCAGAAGATGAATGCTTATTTTCCATATTTTTTAAATTTTGTGGATTATTAAAATTTTTTATTAATATTTAAAAAAATATAAAAAATTAAAAAAAAATTTTTTGTTTCTATAAGATTCGTTTTTGTAGATTGGTGAGAAAAGCCACAATATTGAGCAAGGTTTAATCTACAAGCAGAATAGGATATATAAAATGCAACAAACACTTTTCAAATACTTTAAACAATGCCAGAAAGATAGAGATGGGCCTATAAGATTTAGTCATCTTTTGATATTGTGTGTATTGTAGATGAATATTACTGAACAGTAATATAACTCCTATTTAGAATTAAGGCAAATATATAATACAGCAGCAACAAAATTTTATCTCAGCAATTTTTTATAAACAAGGTTCCTATTCATCTGGAAAGTCAGGGATTTTCATTACTTGTTTGGAAAGTCACGGAAAGTTAGGAAATTTTTCAAAAGTTGTCAAAAAGTCAGGGAATTTATCACCTTGGCTGCCTTCTTGATTTTGTTTGCTGACAATGCAGCTGACCAAGTGTAGCCATTTGCAGGTGGCAAGAAGTAATGTGGTGCAATACAACCTACAGCAGGGGTACAGAATGTTTTCAGGACCCAAAATTTCTTTCAAACATTCACAAAACTTCCCCAGAAATTATTGCACACAAAATAAAACTAAAATACTATATATAAACCAAATAATTATTAATACATGGTTTAGAAAGTTTAAATTAAATCATGTAATTAAATAGGCCTACCATACAATTTACCATGCAACACTAAACTGATAAGTTAACAAAAATATTTTAGATTAAAAGAACACTTTAATTTAAGCATGTGTCATCGTCATAAGATGCATATACAATTATAACAGTTATAAGTTATAACTTGGAAGCTAATAATGCCATATTTCACGAGGAAACTTTTGTTATAATGTAATTTTATTTGAAACAAACAAAATTAGTTACAAAAATGTCCACTAAGATGGTAAATGACACTGCAACATTGTCTGGTTACACAACAGCATGCTCAATATACTGGCCTCTGTTGTTGATAACATTAAAATGTGATTGACTTTGCTGATCTGAACCCTTGCAACTTCTAGCTGTGGGAATATCTCACAAGGTTCTGTCTATCATGAGCACATATCCAACTTAGTGGATCTCAGAACTAGCATTACACAGCATATCCATAGCATATCAAATGAAACTCTGTATGTTGTGGTTAAACACATGATTTGATGATTTCAGCATGTTTTTGACAACAAAGGCCAGCATATTGAGCTTGTATGTTTTGTAATCACACAATGTACTATACTGTTTGTATCACAAGTTCTGAGACAGTTTGAGTTATACACTATGGTGTTTTAGTGCCATTTACCACCCTAGAGGACATTTCTGTAACTAACTATTTTTTGTTTCAAATAAAATTCCATCATCACAGAAATCTCTGTGAGAAATATGATATAATTCTGCCAATTAGTTCAAAGTTAAGTCTTTTTGAAATGTGAACTTTAGTTATGAATACCCAATATTTTCTGAAATTTTAAAATTTAAATCTTGCTAATTTTTTGCTTTAGTTGAATAAACAAAAGTTTTATATATATATATATATAAAGATATGAACCATAAATTAATAATTATGAATAAAATTATTAGCTACAAATTATACAAAGTGGCTATTTATACATACAGTATGTATATGCAATTGACTATTTATACATATGATATATATACTCAATTGGCTATTTAGTAGAATTGAACCAGAAGAACCTGAAGAACAAATTTGGTCTAATAATGAGCCCTGTTCAAATCAATCAAATAAAAACTTAAAATTCAAAACTAAAATTAAATCCAAAGGATGTCCAAAGAGAAAGACTAAGCAGACCACTTTTTACAAAAAAAAAAAATTAAAATACAGAATAAAAAATATATTTATTTTACTTTATTGATATACCTACCAATCTACTTTAAATTTCATTACCTGTATTTCACTGATTTAATGATATTTCATAGTTTATTGATTACTTTATTGAACAACATTGTAACTGAACTTTAATAAATAAAACTATAATTATTTATAATTGTGTAGTTATTATCAAAATATTAATTGTAATAACAGCGCATACAGTAAGTATCTGGCTGGAACATAGGAACATACAGTCAGTATGTATAAATAGCTAATTGTGTGTACATATCATACATATAAATGGCCAATTGCATATACGTACTGTATGTATAAACAACCACATCCCAAATTATAAGATTTCTTTTCCTTTTGTCTTTATTATTACTCAGAATTAAATTATCTCTTAATTTTCTATCCGCAACTAATTTGTTTTATTGTCAGATTATATAATAATGTATTTTCTAAAAATAAAACAAAGTACTTCAGAAAACAAAATCAATTTATTATCTAGAAATGTTTTCATTCTTTAAATTAAAAGACAGTTTTAGCTCAACACTGAACAAATATATAACTTGTTATCAAAATGCATCAGATTGAACAGGTTTAAAAGCTTACATAATTCCAAATTTCAATATATTAAAATTTTATGTATAAAATTTACAAGATTAGTAGTACTAAAGTAAATATATATTAATACAAAAAAAGAAAGAGTGTTTCAGTTGTATTTCATCATTCTTGTTTTTGAATGCTAGTGCTGAAAATCAAGAAAATTTTTGTCTGTAAGATTATAGATAGATAGCAAAAGTTTTTACTCTAATGATAGTGATTATTTATTAATTTGCAAGATATATCTTTCAAATTTTAATTTAACTCTGTAGGATAATTGATCTTAATTTTTGTAGGTTTTTGTTTAGCCTTATACTCTAGGAATGCAACTCTCATATACTGTAACTCAGTCTCAATAGTATCTAATTATGATTTTCTAAATTAGTGCATCAACCTTTTTAGCGTTTTGACCTCTTTCCAATAGTAAATTTAATTTACCAACTCCTTTCTATATTAATATGATACAAAATAAAAATAAATTACAAACAGGATGAATAAGAAATCAAATAAGGATTAACAAGAATTTTTTTATTAAATATAAATCAAAGCTCAAATTTTATGCTGTATCTTAATAAAATATTAAGATATATTATTGTTATATATTATTATTCTAATTATATTTCTAATTATCATAAACATAAATTTATATACTGATTCCTTACCTCATCCAACCCCAGATAAATTGACTGACAACTTTATGGTTTCTAAAAGTGTTAGCAACCACATTGTGAGAATCTTTGTTTTAAATAATAATTACATGTCTAATATATAAGTTTAAAAAATAAATAGATGTTATTTAGCATTATTGATAGTGCAAATTTTATTCTTTTCATGAACAGCTAAAACTTATTGGATTAATTTCTATGATGATAAATTATTTTTAAACTAACATATTTTCAAAAATATATATTACATTATATATCAAGAAAACAACTTTATATTAATATTAGAGATTATTAGATTTAAACCAAAGTTTTTGAAAACCTTTTTATATAATAATAAAACCAGAAAACAGGAAGTTATAATGGCAACTTGATATATTAATATTGTTTTTATTAAAGTTGATATTCTGTAGCTAATAAATTTTTAAAATATAAAATTTTTAATTGAAACTTAAACTATTGTAACTTTATATAATGAAAATCTGATTAAATTTAAGTTTTTTTTATTGATAATATGATTAAAACAAATACAGAAACCTAATAAACAATTAAGCTCATATTTTAAAAATACAATTTTTATTTTTAAACACATTTACATATATCAAAATGACATTGTCATCCTAACAGAGAATAATGTAAATAAATATTTATTTATTATCTAAAGAATGCTACAAATTACCGGCATTTGTATTAACAGTCAAACATGATTCTTTCATTTAGTTATAGGTGTAATATACCCAAATGTATTGTGATATTGTGATGAGTTACTTTTCACTCATTCACTTGTCTTACTGCTTTCTTTGCTCTTTGAATGCATTAAATCATGTCTGATTGTTGTTCATTTTTCTTCAAATGTAAATAACATGAGATCATTTTTAAAAAACTAACCCTACACAATTACATTGTTAATAAACATTTTACAACTTTTTGTTTGTTTATTTTCGTCTAAAGTTTTTATGAAGCTGATTTTTTTTATAACATTTGTTGAAGTGAAATGATGATGATTTGGTTTATACAGTTACATAAACTAAATTAGATGCTTTAATTAAATTTAATGATTTTAACAATAAATTCTTACAAGTTTTCTTAATACAAGTATGCATTTTTTTAAATTTTAGTTAGCTGTTGCTAATAGCAAAGGACAGTATCAAGGTCCTCCTTTACCTTCTTACAAAAATTGTGTTCAGTTAGCTGCTTGTGGTCCACAGCAGATTTTACCAATGAATCCAGATTTACCTGCTGATTTATTTACATCTTGTTTAACTACTCCTATAAAAGTTGCTCTGCAGTGGTAAGAAAATTAAAATTTCTTTAAATAAGATTTTATATTTAACATAATAATGATTTTATAAATACAAAATATTCTACAGAAACCTCAAATATATCCTTATAAATGCAAAACAGATTTATTTAGCATTAAAATTAGATCTTAAACTTTAATAGATTGTTATGTAACATTAATCATAGTATCAGCTGAATCAGAATTTATTTTTATATACAGAGTGATCCATTTTAATCATTTCACTGGAATAACTTGAAAAATATGCATTCTACAAAAAAATCATTAAACCAAAAATTATAGACTTTGAAGGGCCACAAGACATGGCTATTGGTTTCATCATAGGTGGTACTATAATCAGTGAAAAAATAGGGTCTGCTTCATTTTCTTACATGGGAATCCCCATTTTTTTATTGCATATTATAATCTATCATCAAAAACAAACAAAATTTATTTAAATATTTTTTCAAAAAGATGTCCTTATTAGAAGTTGTGTGTATTTAAACTGTATGCAACTGTGCACTGCATGCATAAACATCTGTAAATATCTGTGTTCATTGAGAAAAAAACAGAAAGATGCTATAAAATCATTAGGAAATTGTTATTATTTGGTGAAATCATTCTTTTTTTTTTTCCAAACTTTAAACCTGGCGCAGACCTCAGGAGGAAGTCAAAAATGTTTGTATTTTGTTATGCTACTGGAAGGACTTGGGGTTTTTTTTTTTTTTTTTGTAGTGCATTCTGTGTTACAGAACAGTTTTAGATGAAAGTTTGTTTAAATAAAGATTTAAAACTTGGCCAACTGTATTTACATTTTAAAAAATATCACAAATATACAAAAATAATTCTCTGGTAATTTTGCCAAAATTACAGTATAATAAATATTTTTTTTATTTTTTTAAAATGTAAATACTGTCAGCCAAGTTTTTAATTTTTATTTAAATGTATTGTATTATGATTTTGGCAAAATTACCATAGGACACTGTTTCCAACTTGCATTGTATTGTGGAGGTGGAGCCTCCAATAAAAGGTCATCTCCATATGTGAAAATTGTTTTGGACTGTCACTGGTGTGTTAAAATGACAGAAAAGAAAAACGAATTTTTTTGTATATATGTGATATTTTTATATTTTTTTTAAATTTTGTTTGTTTTTGATGCAGAATCATTAAAAAATGGTGGTTTCATTTTAAGGAAATGAAGTTGACTCCATTTTCATCAATTGTACTGCCATCCATGATGAAACTGATAATTCCATCTTGTGGCTCCGTTGAGGTTTAACATTTTTGATTCCACAATTTTTTTGTAGAATGTGTATTTTTTGAGTTATTCCATTGGATTAATTAAAATGGACCACCCTGTATATGTTTTTTTTTTCTTTTAAAATTTCTATCATGATAATCTATATACAGTTTGTGGGCTGTCTATTTGAGTTTGATTTATTTAGAAGGAAAGAAAAACATATGATGATGTAGAAGTTGAGCTAAATATTTTGTAGAATTCTGAATGATACTTCTGTTATATTTAATAAATATATATTGTAATATTTAAATAAATTTTTAAATTTAAATTTTAGAAAATATTTGAAATATTTAATATTTAGGAATAATTGTTGTTTACAAACATTTAAAATTTTAATTAGTAAGTTATGGAATTTTATTTTAGGTTTGTATTACAAAATACATGTAAACTTGTTCCAGGCATAACATTGGAATTATTAGAAAAGTGAGTATAAATTTCATTTTAGTAATGTGTTAAGATATGTGTGTGTGTGTGTGTGTTATTTTTATTCATTTCTAAAGTCACAGGCTTTTACAGAATGGATAGTTTACTTTTCCTAATGATATGAAATACTTGATTGTGTTAACACATTAATAAGTTTGAGGTTGTTTTTATTTTATGCTTTACAGATATACATTTTATGTATTTCAAATTTCTTATATATATATATATATATATAAGAAATTCTATAAAATCTAGATTACTTACAATACAGTATTTAGAAGTAAACAGTTCTATAAAACTAATTTTCATTTGTGGTATTGAAAGAAAATGAAAGACTGCTGTACAAATTACAAGTATCCTTAGTTAATGCAATTAATTAATTCCTTGGCACTACTGCATATATAAAAATTGTGTTGTTAAAATACTGTGGTACCTCAGTACTCGATCAAACAATTATAAACCACTAGAACAAATTTTTGGTTAATAAACAAATATTTTATTTTCATTTTGCCATCCATAAAAAATACTTTCTATGATAAAAATGAATAACTAATTTAAAAATAAAACGAAGCCTTATGGCTGCTTACCTTTGTCATACAAAATTATACATCAATTTAGTTTGTTTTTTCCCCCTCTTAATGCATGCAGAACACAATCATCATGTCGGTTACACTAAGATTTTTTGAAGTACTCAAGTTGCTATTCATTAATTTTTAACAATTTCTTCATGATATTTCTCTTCAATAGCTTTTAGGCACCTATACATTTTGTATTTTTTAGTCCAATATTTCCCAAACAAAATTTTCAAAACCATGTTTGATATGTCCAACATTTAGGAGCATCTTCCCAATACACCCTACAAGTATTTTTTACTGTTTATAAAGCATTATATCTTTTACGAAACTTAAAAAGTATACATAATATGCACAATATGTATTTTATCTGCAGACATTTCAATTTTATTTTATGCAAACAAAATGTGCAGTAAAGTTTTAAAATAAGCTTCTAAATAAAGAATACAATACGATATCACGATATCCTCAACTACCATCAACTTGTTTATTAACCAAAAATTTGTTCTAGTGGTTTATAATTGTTTGATCGAGTACTGAGGTACCACAGTATTTTAACAACACAATTTTTATATATGCAGTAGTGCCAAGGAATTAATTAATTAACTAAGGATACTTGTAACTTGCATTAACTAAGGATACTTGTAATTTGTACAGCAGTCTTTCATTTTCTTTCAATACCACAAATGAAAATTAGTTTTATATGTTAAATTTCACAGCTATCGTAATTAACCTCACCTGTGTTATTCCTGACATATATCAGGATCGTGATCTTTGACCCACTGGGTTAAACCCAATATATCTTGTTACAGTATTGGTACATTTTTGATACTAGATGTCACTATGCATCATAATTTTTATATTAAAACAAACTTTTGAAATATAATTTTTTTTTGCTTTTATATTTTTCAATATATTTATTTTGTTTGTGCAAAATAAAAAAATAATTTTTAATTATACAGTAGCCACGATTATTTTTAAAAAAATTTTTCGTTAGGCTTAATATTGAGAAAAATTCAACATGGCGGCCACAATATGCAATGAAGAAAAATTTCAACGTGGGATAGGTTAAACTACATATCTATATTGGAAAGTGCCCTCAGCACAAAAATAGCAAATTCACCAATACCTTATTTGCTGAGAAAAACTTATCTATATTAAGTAAAGACTGTTAAAGCCATGTTAATTAAAATTTTGGTTGTGTATATAAAGGGTTTTCCACAATTAATTTTGCGCATTAATCAAATTCCGCATCAAGCAAAGGATAACTGTAATTAAATGAATCTTTTTTAACAATAACTTAGCAATAAATTAATCACAGAAAAATTCTAGTGATAAAAATGAATTTAAAAGTTGAAAGTTGAGATTAGTGCTATTTAATGTTGACAATCACATACTCAACATATCACAATATAGTAATATTTTCTGCAAAATTTTAAATTATGTAATAAGTTTGTTTAGATTTTTTTGAATTGACTGATTAATTTAAAATCAGTCAATTCTTAAATCAAATCAAAAACTGTTTTTCACTATGAACTTATCTAAAAATCTAAATGAACTTATTACGTAATTTAAAATTTTGCAGAAAATATCACTAGTATTGTGATGGATTAACGAATGTTTAGTAAAATTTGTTTATTTGTTAAAAGAAATTACATTTATGCTGATTTAAATGAATTTAATGTATTGATTATTAATGTAATATTTTTATAATATTAAATTTTTATTTTATTTGTAGGATTCCTGGACAATTAAATGATCGGAGAACAATGCTTGGAGAACTGAATTGGTTGTTTACAGCAATAACTGACACAATTGCATGGAATGTATTACCTAAAGATATTTTTCAAAAACTGTTTCGTCAAGATTTATTAGTTGCAAGTTTGTTCAGAAATTTTTTGCTTGCAGAACGTGTCATGAGATCTTACAATTGTAATCCAATTTCCTTTCCTCAACTACCATCAACTTGTCATCATCCTATGTGGTATGTATTCTATGTGGCAATTCTTTAATTATAGTATATTTTTGAAAAATTTTATAAATTGTAATAAGTCTTTTTTATAGGAAATAAATAAGGTTAATAGTATTACAAAAACATTAATTTTAAATACAGTGGACACCACTTATTGTGATTATGTCAATACCAATCCAAAGTGACAATAATAACTGAAATAACAAATGACTGAATTATCAAATATAATAACTGAAAAAACAAAACAAAACAAAGGTAGAAAATTAAATATCCTGCATGGTATCAACTGATAAAAAGATTTTGTGTTTGTCTACAGTCTTTTATTAATAAATCTTCAATAAAACATTTGTATGAATATTGTATTGTAAAATTGTTTGATTGACAAAGAAGTCTAACAACACAGAGTGCTTTACTGTGTGTTGTAAGACTTCTAGCATTTGTTGCATTCTGGCAGCTGTTGGAGGGTTAGTTATGTTTACCTCCAGGTCACTTTCTTTAGCCATGCCAGTATTGTATATTGTAGCCATTTCTTCCATTAGAGCAGAACAGATTTATTATTTCTAAGAAGTGTTTCAGTGCAGGTGCCTTTGTCAGTTTTTATTCTTGTATTGAAATTAGATGCCAACATATCATCAGGACTTAAATCATTGTTTTCTTCCACTTTCTTCCAGTATATGATAGTTTTAAGCATGGGGAAATGCTGAAGACAGTTAATAATCTTGGTTGATATAACATTATTCCAGCCTTGTTTAAGAAAGTGAAGAGCATCTAGAAAACTGAATTTTTTGACAGCTCTCCTGCATTCATTTTTGTGATTTCAATGTCTTGCAAAAGTCAACTATGCATTTTGTGGTGATATGCTTTCATACTTTGGATTATATCCTGATCCTAAGTTTCAATGAATGATGTCATGATAAAAACAAGTAAGTTAAACCACCATTAACACTGCTAGTTTAGATCTTAATTTAACTTATATTTTCTGCAAAATTGATATATTTACAACTCCAAATCACACAAAGGAATTTTAACATTTGTCAATAATCATTTACAATTCTCTCCATTTAGTATTCACTAAAACACAAATAAAATATCAACAATTTACATAAATATATATTTTTAATGTGTTTAAATTGTTGATATTTTATTTGTGTTTATTGAATACTAAATGGAGAGAATTGTAAATGATTATTGCCAAATGTTAAAATTCCCTTGTATGATTTGAAAATCTGTCAAAAAAAATATTTTCGTTTAAGTTATTGAATAACTATAAAATCACAGTCCTATGTTGTAATAACCTGTTCTGTTAGAAATACTTTGTATTAAAAAAAAGGAATTTCATTATTTAATAACATTTTCAAATTTTATTTGACTACTCTTAAGTTTCCTTTATTAGTAAACATAAAATTCCTGATATTAATTCTAATTTTTGAACAAACTCCATTCAATATAACGTGAATGAAACACTTCTTCAGAATATAAATAAAAAATTTAAATTTTATGTTTAATAGTAAAAAAGCTATTGATAAACCAAAGAATATTTGAAAATGCTAACAATATGAAATTTTATTTAATGCCAATGAAACTGCTTCTTCTGATACATTTGGAATAAAACATAAATGCAATAAATAATTTGAGCTTTAGTAAATAAAAACAGATGTTTGGCTAGCATGTTGAGAAGATTGAGCAACCACATGAGAACTACAATGACTGAACATCATCTTACAGGTTGACCCTAATTCATTGTCATTTTTTGACCGATCACCATACTTTCCTTCTGTTATATATAACATCTGATAAAGCAAAATGAATGAATATGAGACTAAAATTTACAAAAAGCATCTGACAGCCATGCTTAGAAGGAGAAGAGGACAACTTGATGTTGGTAGAAAGAAGCAAAGAGCCTCACTGTTTTAATAAGATGAGAGCATTATCAGCTGCTTATCATTCTAATAGCAATGCCTGGATGACAGCAGCAATTTTACTGATTGGTTGCTAGAATGGGACTTGAAACTTAAGAACAAGATTCTTTTGTTTTTTGACAATTATGTAGCACACGTGACAAGCACTTTAATTCATATAAGAGTTGGCAATAATCATTTACAATTCTGAGCAGGGTTTCTCATTTCTTTTGCTTGTCCCAGAATTCCAGGATAAAAGTGAACTGTTTCCCGGGATCCCGGGAAATCCCAGGACAGAATTAATTATTTTTAAGATATACAAAATATCATGAAATCAAATGATATAATTATTTTTTACTTTTTAAAGTAATTTAATATGTTCTGCAACCTCCAAAATCATATTAATAATGCTGTATAAGATATATATTAAAAATTACCTTTGAATTACGTAGAAATTTTCACAAATAGAAAAAATTTATTAAAGTTTGCTGGAAACTGCATACTACAACAACAAAATGCTTTGAATTGAGTTGAAAATTTTAAAAAAATAAACTTAGATCAAACTTCTAACTTAAAAGGTAATTTTCGTTTTTTAAATAAAACATAATACAAAATATTATTGTAAATTTTTATAATAAGATTTTAAAAAGCAAAGATGGTCAATACTTCGATCAATCAATCTGATTCTTATTTTAGTAAAGAAAAGTCCTGCTACCGAGAATGCCCTTTCCGATTTGATTGATGTTAGTGGAATTGTCTTTAATGCATTTAAGAGAAGACAGATGTTATATGTATTTTTCACTTGTAACCTGGAAGATTTTGAGATTGTAGTATTTCTTTTGCTCTCTAGTATTCTTGATTTGTCTACCTTGGCTGCTTTAATAGCAGCATCTAGCTTATAGTCTGATAATTCGGCAATTCGTTTGGCTTTAATAATCAGGTTTATGAAGAAATCCTTGCTCAATTTGCACAACCTGGTGTTATGCAGTTATCAAAGCTACTGGGCATGGTTAAAAATTAAGACAGCATAAGCACAATTATTCCAGATATTACAGGTTCCGACAAGTAAAGAATTTTCAGAGTCCTGCCACAAATAAGCTACATACTGATTATTGACCATTTGTGACATGCCATAACAAGAAAAAATTAAAAAAATGAATAAGTAGGTTTAAAATTAATAAATACAAATGTATTCTGACAGTTTATGAGTCAATTATTCTTTCTATTTGCAAAATTTCCTCAACCTCAACACAAAATAAGAAAAAAGTGAATTTTTAAGAAATTTGTGGGATTTTCCCGGTTAAAAAAAACAACCGGGATCTCGTTTGAGAAACCCTAATTCTGAGAATTGTAAACGATTATTGCCAAATGTTAAAATTCATTTGTATGATTTGGAGTTGTAAATATGTCAATTTTGGAGAAATGTAAATTATATTAAGATCTAAACTAGCAGTGTTAATGGAGGTTTAACTTACTTGTTTTTATCTTTAAATAGCTGTAAAAAAGCTGAGGAGGACTCCAAAATGCATACTATTAAAAATAAATTGATATATAAAGAACAAGTAAAATGGCAAAATCATATTTGGAACAAGACTATGTCTCGGAGACTCACTACTAAGTGGAATCACTTTGACGCTCAAGGCGGGTCTCATTCTCATTCTCCAATCTTCTTTGGTATCACTGCTTTTGGGCACAATCGTTCAAACTTTGCCGGCCACAACCAGGAGGTCGTCCATGATGCATTTTCGATGAAATTAACCTATCCAATTTCGAAATTTCTCTCTGTTGCAAGTCGGCCTGGGTTGAATTTTTGTCAATGCGTAACGAAAATTTCCTGTTTTTGAAAAAAATAATCATGGCTATTGTATCGTCTGAAATTATTTATTTATTTTGCACAAACAATATAGTTTAACCCAATTATAACATCATTGGATGTAACGACAACCGTAATGTAACGTAAAATTTTTATCAGTTCCACAATTTTACTATACTATATAATGTTAAAAAACCTACTTATAACGACACCCTGTTTTAATGTCACATTTGAAGCACTCCCAAATTTACAAAATTAGATTACAAATTTTATTTAACATAGAAGAAACTACATGTTCAGTCCTAAGGTCAGAGTTCACTTCTTAGAATGACTGTGGGTGGTACTCTCCCCCACCCGACTTTCGGTGAGGTGGCTGTTTTGCCTGTTTGTAGAAGAGGGTCGCCATTTTGGATTTTATTTTGACTCGGTTCTCAGTCCCCTGACTACCTATGAGTCTGTGCCAAATATCAACTCTTGGCATGTACTCCTTAATATTTCTATGCTGGTAACATAAAATGGCAGTATGATTTTATAAACAAGATATAGTCTTACCAACAAAAGATATACAGGTATACCTCGCCTTACGTCGGTAATTGGTTCCAGGAGAGGCAACATAAGTCGAATTTACTTGTCTCCGAATCTACTTGTCACTAGGCTAAACCATAAATTACCATTCCTGGTTCTGTATTTTATTTATTAATGCATTTTTAATAATATATGGTTAATAAGGATTTATTTTAAGCTTACAAACAAATAAATTTTAGTTTTTAATATAGTACAGAAAAAGTAATCTAAATTTACGAATGCATGTACTGTAAATACAGTACATACTTGTAAATGTATATATTTTAATATGATTTTATGTGCTTTAAACACTTTTCTAGTGATATTACAACTTCAATATTTGTGTCGGACAGACATAAAGTTGAATAAAATTACTTAAACTTGATTTTTATTTTTCCATATACTTTTTTGACAAACGACGTATAATCGGGAACGACGTAAGTCGAGGTATACCTGTACAGTAAAACCACACTGTCTAAGGAAAGAATATGTGGCAATGCTATCTGAATTTCAAGGCAACCACACATGGTTCCTTACAAAAAGTGGTCTTTCAGACAGGTGGTTGTCCTAAACATGTGGTGCTGTAACACTATTTCTGCATGTATTTTGTGTACTTTTTAGCCATTTCTACTACGGAAAACTCGAGGTGAGCAAAAATAAGTGAATTTTTTCAATGAATCGGATAACTCAATTAACAGGAGTTGTTGTGATTTTATAAGACAGATTAATATAGTATTTGCATTTTCTCAATTATAATGCACACTTTTTCTCCTGACTTCATTAATTCAACTTGGTTCTCTTTGTTCACTCCTCAGTTATGTATATTATATCATCAATGTAGATACGTGTATTTTCTTTAGTACAATAAGAAAAATTATTAATTAATAATAAAACAATTTTATTATTTCTTCTCATAATACAATTTCATTACATCAATGACAATTGTGGAAGGTTGCCTGTAAAACTGATTTTTGTGTTAATGTATTTATTGTTTTTTGAATAATTTGCTGGCAAAAATTACTTGAATATTATTTTCCCAAAAATATTACGGAAATAAGGTAGGTGGATACAAAAACTATTTATCGCACATGTACTGTATATGAGCTTCAAAAAATAAAATAAAATAAACTTCACCGCTAATTGCCATTGTGATAAACCATTTTTACTTTCTCTGATAACTTTAACACGATCTTCTAACGACAGCACTTCACATTTCTTTTGTTTTTCAGACATTTTCAAACAAACTGAAATAAATTTTCATTGTAGCTAGACTAATTCATTAACACCTGTACTTAATTTCAACAGTGGGAGAAGTGTCCAAGGTGGGTTCGAACAAGAGTTTAGACTAATTCATTATATTAGGAGACAAAACGTTGTTGACGTGAGTTCAGACAATAGTTTATACCTGATATATTCATGGAAACAACATACAGTTGTTGTATGTTGTTTCTGACCACAACTTGATGCTCATGGTCACATTACACAGGTGGTCGTGTAATACAGGTAACTTGTATGAAGACTCTATGTATAAACTATTCCATGCCAGAAATTTTTACCCTTTTGACAGATGCCCGTTGAATGCAAGTGGTCACCTAGGCAGTTTTACTGTATATATATATAATTCATTCCAGAAAATTAATTATAATGTATATAATTAATTCATTCCAGAAAATTATACTTATTTTAATATATATATATATATAGGGTGTATTTTTTACTTTTATACTTTTTATTACTGGAATAGGCAGGGAGGTAAAAGTTACATTTTTTCATGACCTTATTACTTTGAACTTTAAAAGCATTCACTACTTTTAGCACTACCAAAGAGTAACGATACAGTAGATTTCTGCAGAGTAACAATGTAGTAGATTTCTGTTCCCTTTGAGGTGCTTATTTTCAGTGAATGTCCTTGCCTCTCACTATCGTGGTGCTTGTTCTCGGTGAGTCACTTTAATTCTTACCATTGTTTGAGATGTTGGTTTTGGGGGAAAATTTCATAACAAATGTTCAAAATAATGCCCTTCCACTTTAATGCATTTATTGAGCCATGCTTACAATTATCACACTTGAGATGACCTTCAGAGGTCAAATTTTGGGTACTCAAGGTCATGGCTGATTGTGAAATTACCCATTGTTTCCATGTAACTTTTACCTCCTGTCTATTCCAGTAATAAAAAGTAATGTTTCCCATTAGAAAAAGCTTATAATTGACAAGACTATGTCTTGTTTATAAAATTGTACTGCCTCATGTTCTTATCAGCATAGAGGTATGAAAGTGTAGAGAGTTGATATTTTGCACAGAGTATTAGGTGCCCAAATCATTTGCGCATAAAAAAATCCAGACTCGTAGGTAGTCAGGAGACCAAGAATAGAGTCAAAATAAAATACAAAATGGCAACCCTCTTCTACAAACAGGCAAAACAGCCACCCCACCCCACCCCACCGAAGTCAGGTAGGGGAGAGTACCACCTGCAGTCATTCTAAGAAGTAAACTCTGGCCTTAGGACTGAGGGTGCCTGCGCGTGACCTTCACCCTTTGACCTCACTTTGCTCCTAAACTCTAACAAGGAGAGACACCTTTCGATTCGACAGCCATGCTGATCTTGTATTTATATTATATATCGACGCTGTTGTAAATATCACCCTGCCGATACAAATTAAGTAAATTATCAGTTTCTCAGTAAACTTTTAACGACAGAACAAAAGACACAGAACACATGGTCGAGGTCAACGTGGACATCAGGGACAAGGTAGGAGAGACATTTTTTCACTTCACGTTAATTGACCTTTCGAGTCGACAGCTGTGCGATCTTGGATTTATATTATATATCAACGCTATTGTAAATATTGCGCTGCCAATACAAATTAAGTAAATTATCAGTTTCTTAGTAAATTTTTACTGACAGAACATTCACCGAAAATGGCTCATGGACGACCTCGTGGTCGAGGCAGATGAAGTTTTAACGATTGCGCCTAAAAGCAACGATATCAAAGAAGATAGGAGAATGAGAACAAGACCTGCCTTGAGCATCAAAGTGATTCTGTCTCCAAGACATAGTCTTGTCCCAAATACGGTTTTGCCATTTTACTTGTTTTAACCTTAAAATAATCTTGACCTTTGAACTAGACAATAAAGTCAAAGGACCTCTGGTTGTGAAATTTTCTGCTCTTTCCATTTCCAGGGTCAAAACTATGTATTCCCATTGAAAAAAACAGACTTGGCTTCCAAATGACCTTAAAGGTCAAGGTCAATGTCACATATGAGGTCATTAATTGATTGGCCCCTCGATATCCTACAACTTTTGTTTGTACCTTTTTCCAAAATAATGAGATCCAATTAAGTTATTTCAATGTCTCAATATTTCAATAAATACACCCTATATATATATATATATATAGGGTGTATTTATTGTACAAACAAAAGTTGTAGGATATCGAGGGGCCAATCAATTAATGACCTCATATGTGACATTGACCTTGACCTTTAAGGTCATTTGGAAGCCAAGTCTGTTTTTTTCAATGGGAATACATAGTTTTGACCCTGGAAATGGAAAATATATATATATATATAAACAGTAGAACCTCCATTATCCGGATTTTTGATTATTGTTCAAAATAAACAAAAATTTTACGAATTTGCTGATTTGCACTTGGTGAATTACGACACTGTTTATGTACGTGATGGAATGCATAACTTTTTTTGTTTCAACGACGTCTCACCCAGCACAGTGTCGTAAACTCTTAAATATATTTTACGTAGTAATAAAAACTTGACATACGTATTTATAAATATTTTATATTCAAATTACATCATTTCTATGACCAAGGGCGGCGTAAGGCATGGACGACGTGGGCCACCGCCTATGCCTCATAGTCCAAAGGCCTCATGCCTCGAAGGTTTATGCATTACTTAAAACTGCAAACACGACGAAAAAACTTTACTCGTCATAAAACGATAAATAGTTTGTCAAATTTTTATTCATAAGAATGCAGTTTCAACTGCTTTTTATTTTATAAAATCCGTCTTCTTGCGCCACCAGAGGGCCTTTTAAACAATAGGTAGGCTGTTAGCGTTGGTTAGTAGTAGTCCAAATTCAATACGAACGTTTGTTTCTTGAAAATTTGATCACGATTTAAATACAGTATTTACTTTTAACATTATCAATATGTCATCGAAAAGAAAACGTGTTGTATTATCAATAAAAGACAAATTAAAGTATTTGTTTCGATTATCCAGATTTTTCCTTATCCGGACTACCTTCATCCCCAATCAGTCCGGATAATCGAGGTTCTACTGTATATATTAAAATAAGTATACTTTTCTGGAATGAATTAATATGCTTGCTTTCAATTTACATAAGACATTTTAAAAATCTTCAAATATTTATAGGAATGCATGGGACCTTGCTGTTGATTTATGTTTATCTCAATTACCAAAGATTTTGGAAGATGGAATTTCATTTCATCACAGTTCATTTTTTGCTGAACAGTTAACTGCTTTTCAAGTTTGGTTAACTTTTTGTACAGAAAATCATGGTACTCCTGAACAGCTTCCTATAGTATTACAGGTATTATTTCTATATATTTTAGAAAGTGTATATTAATTATATTTTATTCAAAAAGTGTAACTCTATTCTTCAAATAAATAAATCAAAATTTTATTAATATAAAATTTATGGTTTTTGATTTCTGTATATTAATTCAGAAATCAAAAACCATAAATTAGTTCATTGGTATAAGACATTGTTATATGCATGTTACATATAATCAATAAAGATGGACAAATACTATTTGCAATTTAAGATCTCAAACATTATGATGATTGTGAGGGGCTAGCCAGGGATACGGAGTAGTTAAGACTTTTGTACCACTTATTTGGCAGCTATCCGTTTGAATAGCCCTCAGGTTGTCTAAAAGAATGGCTTTTCTAGTCAAAGAAATTGAGTGTGGAGGGATTAGTTTTATCTCAAGAACTTTTAAGGAGGGCTTTTGTAAAAAAGATATAGACTGTAAAGTCTCTATCCAATGTCAGGACCTAGACACCAGTTAATCAGTTATTTTACATGCGGATTAACACGTGTTCACGAATCAATATGGAGAGGATGAAATATTTTGATTCAGACATTATGAGACTTTACTTAAAGATAAAAATATTGATAATTTAATAAGACAACAAAATATACAAATTTGACCCTTCTATATATATCTATAATTTTGTGAAGAGAGAGAGATCACATTTCATTTGAAATCATACTACCTCAAAATATATTCTTCTATATTCTTCTTAATTTCCAGATCACTGCGAATGTTCTTATCTTTGGTTAATTCTTCAGCGGCACTTCAATAAACATTTTCTTCTACTCAGGAACTTTAAATAACAAACTTTGTATGAACTTGGGAATTAGTTATGGGTGTTGGCCGTGAGGAGCAGGTATGGAATACATCCTTCTCCTATGGAATTTCGTGGCGTACCCCCGAATGATACTAAAGAATCCCCTTTTTTGATGATTTTCTCCAATGAGAGAATTGTATTATTCCCACGTGTTTAGGAAGAGTGGGGGTTTATAGAGGGGTAACTGGACTGTATATGATTCAAAATTTGTGAAGATAAGGAAAACAAAAAGGATGTAGTACTTCCATTGAGAAGGAAGTGAATTTTACCAGTTTCCTTTGTTTTTAACTTAAAATTCTTTCATTTAAAATTAGAAATAATATTTCTAACATTTATGGATTTGACATAAATTTGCAATTAATAAAGGGGGTGTTCAGAATCTCACATGATAAAAAATAAATTTGAATATAGTATGAATACCTGCACTGTCATGCCATATGTACACAATGGTAGATCCAGAAGTAATCAAAGGAAGGCCAACTCAAAAATTAAAAATATTCAAATAATTAATAAGTACAGCTTATTTCATGTATTTTGGCCATGCTGTAAAAATGTGCAATAGCAAAGATCATTCTATTTACTTAGTGAAGGAAACAAATTGTTTGATGAATCTGTGACATGGTCACTTGTGTGCTACTAAAAATGGAGCTCTTGAACTTTTTGAAACTTCCATAACTCTAACAAGTACCACTCATTGTCTGGTCTAGATATATGAAACAATCTGTGCCTTTTATTAACAGATGTATAGTACAAGAATTGTATTGCAGATGGTCCAATAAACCAGGGATGGGCAACCCCCAACGCACTTGGGCTGCATGTGGCCCACAGTAATATTTTTTGCGGCCCATGTTGCATAAAATATGAATAAATATATCAATTTCCTAGCTTAAGGAAGTATGCGGCAAAAATTCTGACGTTATTTTCTACAACTTGTGTATGCGAATAGTTTTTCTGCAACAAATTTAGTAGAAATTAAAACAAAACACCAGCTAACAGACACATCAAAACTAATTGAAACGTTCCAGAAGCTAAATTAAGTATATCTATGCTATATATCAGGGGTGGCCAACAAGTTGATCGTGATCGACTGGTCGATCACGAAGCCAATTTTGGTCGATCGCTCGCAATGTCTTGAATTAATGTGTTACACTTGTAACCGAACGTAATGCGCAAACGCAAATGTAGTGATATTGGACCACCGCGTTTTCCCTCAGATGCGGTTTTGTCGGTCCATGTGCTATTCATTTGCGTACAGTTGTAAAAGGGGAATAAGAAATGTAGACAAATGATCGTAAAACAAAAAAAAAAAAACAAAAAAAAAAGGTGGGAAGAGCGACAGAGAGAGTGGTCGGGACACGGTAGAAAGAGGAAGGGTGAAGTGATTGTCCTTGAAAGTGACAATGTTGAGATTCAATTTTTCTTCTGTTTACAATGTAAGTACCTTTTCTTCAGGTTTTAAGTTAAATTGTGGCTTTTCTTACCTATCTAAACATAGTATGTATTTCACACCATCCCCTCGCCACTTAGGCTATCCCTACGACAACATGTCAATCGCGACACATTTTTAAGATAAAAAGTAGATCTTACGTACACAAAAGTTGGCCACCCCTGCTATATATGAATAAATAATTGTGATTTACTGACTTCCCCCCTCTTCTATTGTATGTGGCCTCCATCAATGTAAAAGTTTTGAAATGCAGCCCTTACATAGATAAAGGTTGCCCATTCCCGCAATAAACCATATTTACCCATCATAAATGTTCTTAGAACATTTGAAGTTCAAACAAATTTTAATTTTTTGTGTCAATGATATTTCCCTTGTATCACTTACTTCAGCACCTCTAATTTTATTTGTGACAAGAAAAGCAGCAGACTAGATTCTGAAAATTTTTGATTTCTTAAATAAAAATCTGCAGTAGGTAAGAATAAGAACAATTGTTTGTTATTCTATTGTAGTTGAGATAAGAATACCTAATAAAAGCAACTTTAAAACTCAAAGTCAAAATTAAAAGTTTGAAGTTTCATTTCTTAATATTTTGTAAAATTGTTTTTCTTTGTACTCTTTGTTTTACTTTATTATTAGCTGTGTTACCCATTGTTAATGGGAGATATTTATTTGGTAAAATTATATTTACTTACCTAAAGAGTATATCTGCAGAGAATTGTGTTACAATCTGTAACACAATTCTCTTACAAACAGATTCATTATATTCTTATTAAAGATGTGGAATATTTTCTAGATAAACTTATTGAATAACTTCCCAATATACAACATTTTGTGTTTTATCATCAGAAGCACAAATGAACAGATTTGCACCTACTAACATGTGAGCATGCAACATAGAGTTGGAGATGTGAAAAGCAACTGTATTCCAGGTCAAGTCCCACAACTCTCAGGCTTTGGCCTTAAGACTTGTTAATGGTCATTGCAAAGCATAGACCAACTGGAAATTGTAGGCATTTACATTCGTAAATGTTAGTTAGTTGTTACATGGGTAGTTTGTTGGGATTAATGGTATACTATTAAATGAAATCTGCCCTTTAATTTTGAATGTTGGCATGAAATTTCTTTCAAGTATTTCAGTGGCACTGAAACTTGTCATTTGGAAGGCCCTATTGTGCTTTAAAAAATGTTTAGTGTCAGGATGAGTCTCATTTAATAGTGATAGAAAAAGTTTGGAGGCAAGTACAACATACAGTTTAACTTTGCCAGAAGAGCAGCAAATTCCCTGTGATTCATTCTTCCATTTCAGAGCACTGCAATGCCTACATACTTTATCTATAGACCCAGTATTAGCTGATGATGAATAATCTAAGAGTGTCATAAATGAAAGCACTTCAGAGTTTTTTGCACCAGGGATTTGTCATTTTTGAGTAGGCATAATCTTCACTCAAACAAATAAATAAAACTTATGCAAATACAGCTAGGCCTAACGAATCATGAACACAATATGTAATGATTCGAAAACCTGCCATATGTACACGTACTGCCATCTAGCATGATGCCATCACAAAATTATAATTAGTTAATATCAGTTATTCAAATATAATAGTAAACTTCAATAATACACTTTTCTTAGAGATAATGTCTTGACAGGAAGTACTAATTTATGTGTCGCCATCTAGTGAAGCAAGACAAAAGACAGAAATCTATTGCAATTTTATTTAATTAATAAAAAATCTGTAGGTTTGATTAGTGGTAAACATTCTGGGGATCATAAAGATGCTACAGTTAAAATTTGGTAACAATTGGTTCATTAGTTTTCACAGTTAGTTGGAACAAACAAAAAATACATTCTCTCTTTATACAGTAGTATAGATTAAAATAGATAAACCAAATTAAATAATAAATAATATAACTTATTTAGTTAATAGTATATAATTAAGTTCACTAAGTATTCGGTGTATTTGAGATCTGATTAATATTTAAATTTGAGAAAAGTGATATTCACTCATCTTTAATAATTAATTTTATATTATGTACAGTACCTATATATCTAGTATTAAATTAGAAAAGAAGCAATAAAACAAAATAAAAGTATTTTTGCTGATCATGTCATTGTTTTTAGGAATACGGCTATTAAAGAGTTTATTTTATTGGTTAATGTAAATATTCTAATTATTCTTGATTTTGTTTTTACACTTTTTTTGACAAGATTTTGATTTAACATGGTCCAGAGAAAAATTCAGTTCTCTTTTTACATGATTTGCTTTGATTTAATTTGATGAATAAATTTATCCTTTTTCAGATTCTGGAATTTGCATTTAAGGGTGTCACATGCTCCCTAAAGTTTTTTTTATGAGTTATTTGAATATGTTTAGCATTACTTGTGTTTCAGTTTAGCTATTTTGAATATAGATATAACTATTTTAATTTTATAATTATCTATAAAAAATATCATTCTTTTTTTTTGTCAAGATAAGGATTTAGCTATCAATATTTTTCCATTTCCTCTAGCTACAAAAACAAACTTTTTTTAATGTTAATATAACATTTTAGCACTTTTGCATTATGAATCTATTGTTTTTATTTGACCAGCAATCAAATACAACATTCAGTCTGTCCTGTACACAGAAGCTAGAACTTCTGTAAATAAGTAATATAAAACCTTTGACACTTTTTCTGGCAATTTCTTTAATTGAACTTTGTTCAATTAAAGAAATTGCTAGAAAAGGTGTCGAAGGTTTTATATTACTTATTCAGTCTATCATTCCAATTTTATCTTGTATTTGAAACAATCAGAAATTTAATTCAAAGTTTGATTATTTGTATATGATTGCATTTTTTCCCAATTTTTTAAAAAATACAGATACGTTTTGTATGAAATTTGATGTTAAAAGCTATAAGTATTTTGATATTGAAAAAATTAAATAAATAAAATTTGTGAAAATAATATAAATTTATTAAATTTTGCTGATAAATTACAATTATCTCTTTTCTAATTTATTAACTAAAATTGAAATATTTTGTTCAAACACATTGTATTATATTAATTCATTTACTATATTATTTTTTTTCCAGTTTTTAAATCTGTAACCAACTTCCATGTTTTTCACATGGTAAAGCCAAACTATTGCCAAAATATATTAGGCACTATATTACTACTACTTTTATTAATTAAATACTAAGTAATTTGGTAGTAATTATTAACATATAACTGTTGGGTTTGGATGTTTATATTTTTTCATATGGACAGTATCTTTTTATACAAATCTTAAGGAAAACATTTACCATGTAAAAACAGAATTGGATGTATTTTTATTATAAATATTGTTCCTTACAGTTTTATTTCTGAAGATGTTAAAATAAAAAAAAATCTGAGTTTGTTTTATTGCATCTTTTCTAATTTAAAATCTGAAAATGCATGTATAATATGTTATTAGAAGTAATCACAAAACAGAAATCTGTTTATAAATTGATTATTGTTTTAAGATAAAGAAACATGTAGTTAAGTTTTTCAAAATCATTAGATAAATACAAAAACAGAAAAAAAGGTGTATATTAAAGTAATAATGAATTTCAAAATTTTCAAAATCTAATATACCCCTTTTTTTTTATTGATTGTTTATTTCATGCTACATCTTTTTATTTATGCAATGATTTTGAAAAACTTATTCATTGTGTAAAGTGAAGAAAAATTATATTTGATTAGTTTAATTTTTGCTTAAATATATTATGTATATACATAATTTTAAACATTTAATTTTTCATTTAGGTTCTTCTCAGTCAAGTGCACAGGTTAAGAGCATTAGAGTTACTTGGAAGGTTTCTTGATTTAGGTCCATGGGCTGTTAATCTTGTTAGTTTGTTACAGTTTTTATTAATTAGAACTTGTGATTATAAACTTAATTAAAATTTTCTGTTAAATCACTTATTTAGGCTCTTTCTGTTGGAATATTTCCATATGTGTTGAAATTATTACAAAGCTCAGCAAGAGAACTTCGTCCACTTTTAGCCTTTGTTTGGGCTAAAGTTATTGCTGTAGATAATGTAAGTTTAAATGTGAATTATTTTTTAGATTATTCTTTAATTAATTAATAATTAAATATATTAATAAATTATTCTATAATATAATCATTAACTGATCAATATATTAAATTTCTAGACTTGTCAAGCAGATCTTGTTCGAGATGGTGGCCATAAATATTTTCTTAATATTTTAGCAGATCCTTATATTCCTGTAAGTAACAGTATACATTTATTATGTTATTAAATGTTATATTCAAAATTAAAGAATATAATTGAATTTTAAACAAATATTTTTTGGTATTATGGTTTTATTTTACATATTTCTTGTAAGTTTATAATATCAGTTAAGAAAATTATAAATTTTTATAATATAAAAATCTAATATTTTAACCTGTCCTATATTTTCAACCTGTCCTATGTCCATTGGAATGAGGCTAGGATTGTTGTCATATGGAATGAGGCTAGGATTGTTAAATCAGTGCACTCACTGTCTTTAGCAATGACTTTAAAAAAACTTTGAAATATATAAATCTAGTCTTACTGGCAAACGTTTCAATTACAAAGATGTCACAGTATTACTATCGGCCTGGGAATATATGATCAAAAATAATGCAGTAAAATCTAATACATAACGTGCACTTTGTCAACATAATTCTGTACATTGTGTTAGTATATTTGTATTTTATTTTAATTCATTCAATTTCACATATTTACACTGTTACATTTATGGTATATTTGATATTTGGATGACATGTTCAAACATTTATAAATTTGAATTTCTCATTGTTCAAATATAGAACCACCATAAAAACATTTCAGATAATTTAAAATACTTGATGATGACCTGTTGATTATGTTGAAAACATTTGTTAAAGCAATAAATGTTGGTTCTCAGAGATATAAGGTGTGTGACATAGTATTTAAGGAATCTGAGTGTATATCAGTTTTACATACTTATTGGTGTAGGTGCTGGTAGCCTTATCAGTTTGGAGTTTGGAAAAGAAAAGTAACATGTCACTTAGAAAAAGGAATAATTTTTAATTAATAATTTCAAATAACACATTTGATCATAATTTTCATAAATAGTATTTCACAGGTTCTGTCCTATCAAAATTTTTATGCATTAGTCTACTGAGAAAAGTTTAAAGTGAAAAAGCTATCCCAAAAAAATTCTCCAAACTTTCTGTCAGTTGATAAAAAATCCCAAATCTGGAAATGCTGAACAGCATTTGCATGAAAGCTGCTTTCCATTCTCAATGTCACTTCCTGCTTTCCTGTTCAAACTTGTCATGTTACATCATGACATTGCTAGGTGTGTAGTGCATGGAACTTTCATTGTACATTGACATTCTGCTGTTTTCCTGAAGTACAATTTGTGATTCAATTTCACACTGACTGTTAAAAATAAGTGGATTAATTTTTATTGCCAGTATTATATTTTTGTGCCACTTTAATAAAAATATTACCAAGTGGTAATTTTGGCACCATGCAGTGTGAGCCCTGCAGTGATCTGTATGGTTATATCTTGTAAATTAATTGGTCTGAAAGTAAAGATCAGATGGAAGTAATGTGAATAGCAACACATCTGCACAGTTAGCAAAAGTTGTGGGTTCAAATTTATCTGTAGATGGATCTTTTCTCCCAGAATAGTCTTAATTAATTTCTAATTATTAAATTTAATACAAGATGGTGGCATAATTTTATTGTAATTCAAATTGTATAATATTTGTTTAATTAATAGCCAAGTTATATATATATATATAATAGTTAATCTGGCTTTATCATTTGATAATTAGTATAATTTGGGCTTGGTTTTTTGTACATAATTAAGATTTGTAATTTAAAATTTGAATATGAAGAAGAAAAATTTCCAAAAACATTTATTCTATACATACAAAACAGCATCTTGGGATAAGTATTTAAGGTTTATTATTATATATAAAATCTTAGAAGAAGAAAATGGAAATTTAAATTATTACTTTGATAAGTATTATATAACCATAAGTTGCTTTATCATTTAAAAATTTAGAATTTTTTTCCTATTATATAGAGTTTAGTTATAGGTTTTGAAAATTTGTTTCCTGGAAATTTATTACAAAAAAGTTTACAATAGAGGTATGAACAAAACATTATTGAATTTATATTCATCAGTACTCCATTGTTCTAATGCAGAGAGCATACATGTGACCATAGGGTCGGTATCTCTTCGATACCTCGTCAGGATGACACCACTGTATCCTTCGGTCGATACAGAGACCACAAGTTCGCGCGAGCGGATAGGTATGAGGATTGGACCCGGAATGGAGAACTGAGAGACAAACGGAAGAAACTGCACTCCAGAAGTTTTAAACATAAAAATCCGTTTATTTATATATATTCTAAATTAAGTTTACATCAGCGAATAAAATACGATACATAAACTACATGAGTTATTATTCAATTTTTAGTCCAAATTAACGATCGGGTGCGCGTTTCTTTTACGCGGAGAGAGAGAACGTACAATAGTGCGCGGGCAGGATAAATACCTTAGGTTGTAGGCAAAATCAGCACAAAAGGTCCAACAGTTCTTTTTAGGTGAACAGTTCTTTCCAGGTGAGTAGAAAGATTTCAGTTAAGTTCAGGTCTTCCAGTCTTGTCCAAGAGGAGGAGGTTCGGATTCTCGGCGGGAGGTAGACGATCGGAGCGCACACACAGATACCAATAATAACTTCCACCCCCTTACTCATCATGCCTGGCCCTTTTATATCAAGTCCTCATTTTCGAACTTTTCTCCGATTTCGTCAGCGATGACGATCTTCTTGGTCCAATGAGGGGACGGGTGACACAATCGTGACACAGAAATGTACTCATCTCAACAAGGAACCTAACTCGTGGGAATCAAGGTTTTTATTGATTTTAGTTTTCCTTTTTCTCTTTTAATTTTCTGTTTTCTCGTTCCGTCTTTATAAAGTTTATTTAAAAAAAATTATAGTTTAAAACACTAAATTTCTGGTCCTCACATACATATACTCACCTGATTTGACAACCCCTAACTTTTGGAAAAAAATTCAAGCATTGGAGACATGTTATTGGAATTAACATTGACATGTTGACAGACATTGGAAAATACTGTAGAAATAGTTCATGTTTTTGAAGATAAAAATGGGGGTCATTTACATGACACCTTATTCGTCCATAGTTAAAAAATTTTCATTTTTTGTACTTTATTATTTGTATTTATTTATTTATTTATTTTTAATAAACAAAAATTTATTCATTTTTTAAATAGTAGAGTAACTTACAGGCCACTCTTTATAACATTTTAAAATTATATTAAGGGCACATTCATTTCCAAATGTAAAATTTAACGATTAATAATAATATGTTTAATTTAAAAACACTTTCAGAGGTTAAAATTGCATTGATTTTATTTTAAATTATTACAAAATATTGTTTGAAAGTCAAAATTATATATAAGATTTTTTTCAATAAATACAAAATTTTTTGTTATTAATTTTTATTTAAACAGTTTGTTTGAAGATGTAATAACAATTCGTTATATGTTTATTAAAGTATAATATTAAACTCTTCATACACATTTTATGAAATGCATTTATATTGATATTTTTAAAGGTTTTTTTACATGACTTGTTTTTTTTTTAAATCTGAAATATATTTAATCTTTGTCATAATTTTAATACCATATTTTTATGCAGGCTATCTGGAAAAAAGAACCCATTTGAAAGTATGAGTTGATTGTTCAGTTGTGTTAAGAGTGGATTATTTGTCACTCTTGCAATTTATTATGGAATACTTATGCAGCACTTCTGTTATCTAAAAGTTATCAGGAAAATATTTAGAAAATGTGAGGATTACTTTAGATTTAACAAGTTACATCTTTTTGTTGTTAAGTTCCATCGAGTCGTCGTCGACTCCTGGTGACTTCATGGACAAGTCTTCTCCATNCATAGTCGCATCCTAAGAGGCAATCTCTCCTTGACAGACAAGGAGAGGCATCCCTTCTTAGAAGATCACTTACGTACTGTCTTGACTCATCTCATCAATCCAATTCAACCCTTTCAATAACAGAATAATTTTGGTTTGTCATTTGATGTTAAAAGCTATAAGTATTTTGATATTGAAAAAATTAATAAAATTAAAAGTGTGTCAATAATATAAATTTATTAAATTTTGCTGATAAATTACAATTATCTCTTTTCTAATTTATTAACTAAAATTGAAATATTTTGTTCAAACACATTGTATTATATTAATTCATTTACTATATTGGCCTCCATCAATGTAAAAGTTTTGGGAATTATTATTTGACTGATTGCCATACTTTCCATCTGTTATATATATTCATTTTGAATATATATTTACCAATCAGTATTGTCAATAGCATCCCCATAACCAGGAGTATCTACAACTGTTAATCTAAGTTTAACACCTCTTTCTTCAATTTCAACAGTTGAAGCATTCAATTTAACTGTCTGCTGAATTTTTTCTAAAAAATTATAAAATTTAATAATTAAAATCATTATTTTTTACAATAATTTTATATGTTTGTTGATATTATATATTTGTAATGTTTATAATTCAAATTTTGTTTAAAACAATAAACTATATTCTAATTTTTTCCTTACAGAAAATTCTCAAACAATCTATATAGATATGCTTTTGTTCTAAATAAATTGTTTTATTATTCTGAATTGTTCAATGATTTTTGGTGCTATATTCCAAACTTAAAACTTTAAAAAAACTTACCAGTTTCAATACAAGTAAACAAACTACAATCTATACTATCCAGTGTAAAATTTACAATGAAATAAATAAATCTAATTAGCCATTGGCTAATGTAAATTTTATGCCAAGTTTAATTTCTCCAGCTTTATCAGCTAGCTATATTAATAAAATAATGTTGTCTTTTATAATGCCGAATCAAACAAATGTTAAAACAGAAGTTTAAGGTATATTATGCAATAAATGAAAACTTTACACACATTAAAATTTATTGAATTTGGGGGCAGGTTTATGTTTCCATGTTTCCCATAGAAAGTCCTCCTAAGGGTGTGACTATGCAGACATGAATTTAGTAGCGAGCGAGAGGTTGCGAGCGATATAATTCTTGCAAAGGAAAACTATGCACAAGCGAGAAGCGAGAAATATTGCTGGCGAGAGCGAATTTCTGGTTGTCGCATATATCTGACAGGGTTTGATATTCATCGCGTC